AAAACAAAAAAAAAAAGGATAATAAACACATGACAATCCAGTAAGTGCGCGTGTGTGTGTGTGTTAATTTGCTTAAGTGTGTGTGTGGCGTAGTTTTCCAAAGAGAAGGAAAAACTTTTGTTTACCCAATGCTGGGAATGAAAGATATTTCCAGCGAAAATTCCTTCGTGAGGGATCTAATTAACATAATGTTGGTAGCACCCCCTCCCGTCTCCTCCTCTTTTCCACCATCTCTATGACACTGCATTTGTGTGGGTGTAGGTGTGTGTGTGTATGTGTGTGTGCTTGTTTGTGTGTGTCATTAGCGTTTTCGTGGCATGTGTTTTTCCACTTTTCCCGACTCCGGTTTAAGTTGCTTCTGTACACAAAGAAAAATCTTTAAAAAAATCTGGAATATTATATGATATATAGATAAGAAAAACGAAAAACAACACTAAATTTTTCTTAAAATCTAGAAAAAATATTATCCAAATGACAATACTTCTTCAAAATTTTTAAATTTATATAATAAATAAATAAACAAATTGGTTTCATTGTTGTCCCTATGTAAAAATATAAATTTATAATCTTTTTTGAAACACCTAATGGGTTCTAAGGAATGTGTTGTTTTTTCTCGGCGTATCATTTTATCTGTCTCTTTTGCTCCGCACACTACCCGTCTCTTTCGCTTTTCCTTTTGCGGTGGCATTTTCAGCACGTGCGTTACCAACAATAGCAACAACAACAATGGTAGCTAAACTAAACCCAACTAAAGTAACTACAAAGGCAACAACAATGCTGACAGTTCGCAATTACAATAAACAAAACAAAACGCAGCAAATTCTGGCAAATGGGGAAAATTGAGAAAAAAGGGTGTGAGAAAAAGACACAACACAACAGAAAGGAAATGGGTTACTCGTAAAAAGGAAACGAAAAGGTGGAGTCTCGAAAAATATACAATGCCCTAATTATGGTTTTATTTTGAAAAAGTACAGTCTACAGCCGATTAACACATGGTAAATGCATAATAAACGATTAACCAACACTTTTTATATCGAATCCCTCTATTCGAATTCGATACATTAAGTGTTGGTTAATCCTTTGCTATGATTATTGGAGTCCAATCAAAATAAAGTAATATTTACCCATAGCTTTACTGATTCAAAAATAATCGCAACAAATAAAAAGTTGGCTTAAAATTTCCTTAATATTTATTTTTAATTTTCATTATGATTTTAATAATGATTTTTTATAAATTCTCCAGCAATAATTTGCATTTAACTCAAATATTTTGTTATACCACTAAAGGTTAATAAACCTTTATATTATTCCTGTTCCACTTCACATAATTCTGGACAATCGCAGTGATTATAGTAATTCATGATCTAAGGGACAATAAAAACCAAGTGACATAGCGAGGGCAGACCAAAAGTAATTTTAATGTCTCGCCTGGAAGTACATAAAAGCTGTAGTCGTGGGGAAAAATGAAGAAGGAAACTCAAATCCTCCAGGTCCCAAGCACGCAAAAGAAAATGTGGAAAATGGTGTGAGTGGTGTTGGTGGGTGGGGAGGGGAGGGGTGGTAGAGATGGGTATTATCGGGGAAGTGGTTTTTACTATCCAACGAGAATCTACCGCAACTAAAAACAAAAGTTATGTGTGCACGAAAAATCATGTCCAGTCATTTCCTGTACAACTTTCGGTCGAAGGACCCATGGGGACCTGCCACAAAAGGGGGGGGGGGGTTTCGGGGGTCTACTACCTACCAACCAAGCCCCCTCCCCTCCCCTCCAGCCAAGCGGCTTTCGTTCGGTGGCCTTTTATGGTCATAAAAATTTTATTATAATTTTTAATAATTTAGGCAAGCATATTGCTGCCAGCGAAGCGAACCCGGAGCTATCCGAAGTTTTTCCACAGTTTTCCTTTGCCTTTTGCCTTTTTCCTAACCTCCTCCCCTCCTCCTCCCCCACCACTCTCTTTATCACCTGGCATATACGCACGCCGGGCATTTCCGGCTCTATATATGCCCGGACTTTTCTGGGGACGGACCAAATACGGACGGACACGGATACGGACAGTGGAGCACAGTAGTCGCAGTCAAAGTGCAAATGCCGTAAATCATGGCGCTGGTAAACAAGCAACAGAGAGAACCACACAGAAAACAGGACGAAAATAATGGAGGAATGCGGAAAAGCACCTGTAAATACCCTGGAAAATAATGATTGAGTTCTAAAAACAAACCACTAAAAATGTGATCTATTTCTTAAAAATTTACATATGCATTCTACTTTGTTAGGCATTACTCTTAGAGTATAATTTATGAGTCTACAAGAACAATAATCGAATATTTCCTAATTATACATACAAAAATTTTAAGATTTAACAAAGTTAGTATTATTTTTAATAGTAATTTTGACTCCTTTAAAATGTAGTTTCCATTCCAGAATTTATGTTTAAATTGCTGTGATTCAATGCTTGAATTAAATCTACATTTTTTGTTGTAATTTTTTTATATTTAAAAGTGATTTCAATTTTAAAAGCAGAAGAGTACTTTTAGATTAGGGCAAATAAAATTCCCAAGAACTACAACTTCAAACCAAAATACTCGGCCCATAAGAGGTATCAAAAGAGTCGGAAAAAAGCGCTGAAAATAGCGAGTGGTATAGTCGTATAGCTATAGCCGGAGCTAAAGCGATAGCGATACGGATTGTGGGGATATATACGCTGTCTTTCGGCGCGTTTCGTTAGCGTTTTAAGCGCGTTTTTGAGCTCCGTTTTTCCATGTTTTCCGCGCATTTTTTGTTTTCCGTTCAGACGTTTGCTTTCCTTTTTGCTTTTCGCCCTTTGAAGGTGGCGCCAATTTGATGAAATCGTTAGCATTACCTTTTGGCTGGATGTTGAAATGGGGAAAAAGGAAAAACTGCTGGAAAAACGAGGAGATTTTCCATTGTTTCGAGTGTGTGCGAGTGTCAAGGATAAGGCGGAACCAAAACAAGTGAAGTAAGCACGGAAATTTCTCACGTGTACACCCGATAAGGAATTAAAAGGAGTTTCGCCAGGCATTCAAATGGTCAAGTTTCGCAATGTTTGTGGCACTTTCAAGTGCAGAAACACAACAACCAAAAAGCAATGGTAACACCTCGTTGAAAACAATTTCAAATTTGTTTGATTTCTTAGTGAATATCATTTAAACCCATAATAACTTAAACTGTTCATTATAAAACTATACCATTATAAAATATTATATTAATAATATAGTGAGCTAAGAAATAATTCATTAAATATTAAAAAAGGTTAAATGTAAATAATTGATACTTTAAAAATTGCATAAACTTATGTGTATCAACTTCATAAACAATTGATTTTTTCTTCTGCTTTAAATGTTCTTGGGTCAGCACCGATTTTCCCTCCTTAAAAAAAAAAAGAGAAATGCGAAAAACAAACAAAAGCCGCAAATGCCAAGGCCAAACACCGACTGACAAGGGGATGAAATGGAAAATAGAGGGGGGTCCTATCCCATATGTCATACATGTGTTTGGCGGCCTGTTTGTTTATGGGGGCCGCATTCAGTCGAGGAAAAGTGGAAGTGAGGAAATGTACATAAGCCAAACGGAAAATACAAAAAAGTAAGCGACAAAAAGTGTGAAAAAAAACGCGTTAAAAATCGCTGGAAAAAAGAAAACTGCAGAAGACAGAAATGCGTGCAAAGTCCGCATCGAGTATATTTCCATTTTGGCAACATGTAGAAAAATTGGAATGCTAAATACCATTTTACTACAAACGAAAAGTCTTTCAAAAAAATTGTAATTTAAAATATCTGAATATTTGTAAACAATAAATATTATAAATCCACTTTGAGGATTGCATCTCTAGAAAAATAATATCACCACTATAAATTTGGGTTACTTAGCAATCGAAAAATAATTATTAATAGTTTTGCTATGTTTTTAATAAATGTTTGTGAGTTCTAAAAGTTGGATACCAGAAATGGAAATATAATAAGTATAGTTTGGTATACAACTTATGTTTCATTTGTGGGCAATATTCAAGTATCTGTATTATTTTTTGTTTCGGTGCAGAGATGCAGTTACATTTGCAGCTTAGCAGCAGTGGCAGTTGCAGTTGCAGTGGCAGTTGTTGCAGTTGATGGCACAAATCCAGACAACTGACAACCCCACACATTCCGCCTCATAATGCCACAGATTTTTTCTTATTTTTTCCATGCACATACATTCTGCCCTTTCATTTGGTTTAAACTTGACCCACAAAAACGAGTTTTATTGCATTCGTTTGAGATGCGAGAAGGAAAAGGTGAAAGGCGGAAAGGCGGAAAAGCGGAAAGGAAAGGGGGATTTTAAAAAGTCGAATCTCCTTTGGTCGCGCCTGGCTTGTAATTATTTTTTATGGCATCTGTTTTCATCCCGATTTCATTCATTGCGAAACTGAAAGCTGTAATTCAATTAAGGGAAAAACATAAATAGCGAAAAAACTTGAATAAACAAGAGGGGATTATTAAAAAAAGGAGGAAAGGAACTCAAGAGTCGGATAAGTTATACAAATGTTTATTGAAATATTATAAATATAATATTAAAGTGGTACCAAGCAACTGTACCAAAATCGTATCTTAAAGTTTATGGAGGAACTTTCATTAAAAGAAGTATTTCTTAAACAACTAAAACCTGATCTATATATTTAAACATCAATTGTTTGGCGACATCTAAAGTGCAATGGATATTTACTTTTCATTTATTCTATAACTTTATAAAATAATATTTCTGTAGCTATTCACAATATATTAAATTCCAATTTCTTTACCTTCAAAGCTCTTAAAGAAACCTTTTTATTCAACACAACATTCAAATATTTAAAATTGACAGATTGTTATGTCACATATATTAAAGTCTTACTTGCGTTTTATGTATATTAAATATGTATTTATATTATTAGAATTTAAAACTAGACTTTTGTTTTATATTCCTTGATAATAATCTCAAATCTGTTTTTACCCTTATTTTCTTCCAGTCGAGTTAACAATTTCGCGGTGAAAATGAAGAGAATGCGCAGCAGTGGCCCTTTGGTGCTGCCACTGATCCTCCTGTTGATCCTGTCGCTGCTCCTCCAACCGATTGCCGTCCAAGCCAAGTCGAAGAAGAACAAGTCCAACGCGAATTCGCACCACGGAGACTCCTCCTCCTCCTCGTCGACGGGGTCCTCCTCCTCGTCGGGATCCTCCTCCTCGTCGAATGACGAGAACAAACCGAAGAGCGGCAGCGACAATGGTGGCCAGCACTTCGCCATGGAGCCACAGGATCAGACGGCCGTCGTCGGATCGCGGGTTACACTGCCCTGCAGGGTAATGGAAAAAGTGGGTGCCCTCCAGTGGACCAAGGATGACTTCGGCCTCGGCCAGCACAGGAATCTCAGCGGATTCGAACGTTACTCAATGGTGGGCAGCGACGAGGAGGGCGACTTCTCCCTGGACATCTATCCCCTGATGCTGGACGACGATGCCAAGTACCAGTGCCAAGTGGGACCCGGTCCCCAGGGTGAACAGGGCATCCGGTCGCGATTCGCCAAGCTCACCGTTCTCGTTCCACCCGAAGCACCCAAGATCACGCAAGGCGACTACCTGGTGACCACCGAGGATCGTGAAATCGAACTCGAATGCGTTTCGACGGGTGGCAAACCCGCCGCTGAGATCCATTGGATCGATGGCCTGGGCAATGTCCTCACCAAGGGCATTGAATATGTCAAGGAACCTCTGGCCGATTCACGTAGGATTACAGCCAGATCGATACTGAAACTGGCGCCCAAAAAGGAGCATCACAACACGACGTTCACGTGCCAGGCGCAGAATACCGCCGATCGAACGGAGAGGTCGGCCAAACTCCTCCTGGAGGTTAAGTATGCGCCCAAGGTCACCGTTTCGGTGGTGAGTGGTGCCTTGGCGGGTGGGAAAATCCCCGAGGGCGCCGAAGTCATCCTAAGTTGCCAGGCCGACGCCAATCCACATGAGCTCAGCTATCGCTGGTTCATCAACGATGAGCTAATGACCGGTGATTTTACCACCAAAATGGTGAGTTCTCAGTGGCGTACTTTCGATAATGTCCTCGTAATTATGCCATATACACCTTTTCCAGATCATTCACAATGTCACCCGGCAATATCACGATGTCAAGTGCGAGGTGGTCAATGCTGTGGGCAAAAGCGAGGAGAGCCAGAAACTGGACATCAGTTGTAAGTATTACCTATTTGGGAAAGATTGTTATTTTTGATATTTAAAAATCGTATTCTTCTCACCCACCTAGTCGGTCCAGTTTTCCGGCAGCGTCCCGTCAGTGTGGAAACCGATTTGGGAGCCACTGTGACCATGCGATGCGAGGTGGATGGCAATCCCCCGCCCGAAATCGAATGGATCAGCGAAAACTCCGATAAGGTAACTTGATATGTTCATATAGAGCTCAATAATTGGGGCTCACCCTAAGAAAGAGATCATTTTAAAAGCTCTACTTTACTGAAGGACTCGCACAATGTCAAAGTTCATTAGCAAAAATGTTGTGTCTTTGTTTTACTGATTAAATATTTCTTTAAAAATGTTTGTTTACATTACATTACAAACATTAGGCTAAAGAGTTAGTTGTTTTAATGCACATACCGAACCAATATAGATTTTCCTTCATTTTAGTTAAAAAGTGTTATAGATTCTTTTAAATGATTGAATCTTTTAATAGTAATTCAACAAAATTTTTTTAAAATAAGGCAAAGGAATTCGCGGAAATTTCAATGTAGAATCAGGATAGCTTTTAATTATAAGTTCAAATTGAGAAAAAATCACAAGAGGCTGAAGAATTCGCGCTGACTTCAAAGCAAAAGAAGTCGTGGCTTTTATACGATTTGATTTGTTTTGTTTTATAACATGAAATCTGGTTGTTAAGATGTGCGCTCTCGTAATATATACTGCTAGTTAATTTAAAAAAGATATATGACTTAAATCTCTAGTACCCATTATTGCTTAGTTTATGGTATGCGATGTGTTTATCAACATATTACCCCTTATTCCCCAGGTCGTTGGCCGATCGCCCGAACTGAAGTTGAAGGTGAGCAGCGAGAAGTCGGGGCGGTACTTCTGCAAAGCGGTGGTCAATGGATTCCCCGAGATCGGGGCCGAGGCGACGGTCTATGTGAAGAGGGCCCCGATCATCACCTCGCACAAGGTGCAGTTCGGCGGAGTGGGTGGCCGTGTGAAGATCGATTGCCTGGCATTCAGTATACCCAAGGCGGAGCACATCCTCTGGTCGTTCGAGGGCAAGATCATCAATATGAGCAGTGCCGATCCGGATATCTACATCTTCGAGGAGCACCATTTGCCGGAGGGCGTGAGGGCAGCCCTCATAATCCGTGATAGCAAGGCCACGCACTTTGGCAAATACAATTGCACGGTGATGAATTCGTATGGCGGTGATTCCCTGGTGATAACACTGCTCCGCGAACCGGGCAACATACCCGTGCTCCTGGTCGTCATGGGCTCCATGTTCTGTGTGGCCATCATGCTGATGATCGTGATGATCATAATCGTCTATCGCAAGCGTCGCAGTCGCAAGAAGCCCATGCCGGCGGATGTGATCCCGGAGGCATCCCGCGGCGGTGACAAGCTGAACGAACTGAAGAGCGAACTCCGCTCGAAGGCCTACGATGTGGAGTACTCGGAGGCGGGCGGCGACGGCCTGGCCATCAATCTCACCCAATCGCCCATGCCCGATGTCCAGATGAAGGGCGCCACCCTCGGTGTTCCCCTCGCCGGTCCCGTCAAGTTCGATGAGCGATTCTCGGGCGATTTCGGAGGCGCCGATCGATACAATCGGCAGTGTCACATCAAGAATCTGAAGAACCAGCAGGAGACTGCCTACAAGGGGAGTCCCCAGGCCAACGGGTATGCCCATTACTTCGAGTACGCCCTGGACTACAGTCCGCCCGGCGAAGGGGCGGCGGTGGTGGTGGGTGGTGCCGGCGGCGGTGGCAAGGTCAAGAACGGTGGCATGAACTCCGCCACACTACCCCATTCCGCCGCCTCTGTAAACGGGGGCGGCTCTGGCAACGGGGGCGGGGCCAGCTTGCCACGCAACCAGAGACACGAACTGCAACAGTCACAACAGCAGGCCAACGGATTTCTAGGTGAGTAAATTGCATAGTTTGAGTAAAATACAATAAACATATATAACTAAGGGTTTTCATAGTATTTATAATTTTTATTTTAATATATATATCAAAATAATCATTATATTTGAGTTTTATAATAATAATAATAAAAAATATATTTGAGTTTTATAATAATGATAAAAAGTAATCATTAATTTTCGATTTCAATTTTGTATGCTTCAAAAATAATCATTATTTTTATAGAATATTATCGAAGTTACAAACTTTAAAATCATATATGAAATAGATTGTTTGACCACATACATATATCGTTATTTGCAGTCCCTGATCGAAAAGCATGTTAAAATATATATTTTTTATAAAAGCCTTAGACACCTGTTTAAGTGGTTTTAAACCTCTTGAGAATTCCTTTAGTTTTTAAATATATATATTTTTTAATATACTTTTAAACTTATTTTGGTATATATATATATATATATATATATATATATATGTTTATATATAGTGTAGAAATTTCAGGAGTTTTGAAACCTCTTAGCCCAAATCTACATGTAAAATTATAGTCTATATACACGCCAGCAGGTGGCGTATCAATGTAAAATTATTCGAGACTAAAACCAGATGAGAATAATGTATTTTGTACACTATGTTGTGTTTATGGGTTAACTGAAAATGTTTTTAATATACATTTAATATAAAAAAACGATTCCCAATAAAACTAATTGAATTTCGTTATTTTTTCAGGACAACCGCTGCTCCAAAACGGCATCGATAGCCGATTTAGCGCCATCTACGGTAATCCCTACCTAAGGACGAACTCCTCGCTGCTGCCCCCGCTCCCGCCGCCCAGTACCGCCAATCCGGCGGCCACACCCGCCCCGCCCCCCTATCATGCCGCCCGCCACGGCCACGCCCACAATGGGGGCCTAAAGCATTTCGTGGGCGGGGCGGTGATTACGACGAGTCCCGTTGGAAATTTAAATGGAACGGGGGGCGGCGGCTCGACGCCCAGTGGCGTGGGAGGGGGCGTGGCAGCGGGGGGGAGCGTGAGCGGCAGCAGTTCGAATTTAACCGCCAGTAGTAATACCCTGGCGGCCACGCCCCTAGCGGGCGGTGGCGGAAACAGCGGCCAGTGTGCCCAGAGTCCGTCCGGGCAATTTATACTGTCCAATAATGGCAAAGGACACACGCAAAAAGGACCTCTGGCCACACACGTTTAAATGCGAAAAATGTCCGACGAATCGACATTATATACACCCTATACATATAATACATATATATACACATTGGAAGAGCCATTAGCATAACCCGTAAATGTATTTAAAAAACGCAGAACTTCTAGTGGTAATATTTTTTTTGTCAAGAAATAATAGCGTAATTCTCACTCAAGTGGTGTCAACTATTTTCGAAAAGGCCTGGAAAAAATATATCAGGCAGTCACTATCTTCTATAAATATCATTGCTGAAATTTATGCACCAAAAATTGATTTTTTGTTTGTACATTTTTTCCATATCTTCACTAAAATGGCTCGTTATATAAAAAAGAAAATAGCTGAACATCCTTGAGTAAAAATTAACCATGAAAATATATGTAAAACAAGAAAAACAAAAGCATACACAAAAAAAGAAAACAAAAAACCGTATTGTGATTTATAGCGTTAATTATTTTATGGCAAAGCTCGATGAGTTTTGGAACGGCAAATTATATCAACTAGTGCAAATCTTAAGCTACTTATCGAGTAAAAAAATCATATATCAATTAAACACGAAACGTATCGAAAAGAAATGCAAAAATAAACAAACTACAAAACTTCAAAAGTTTATTTTAAACAGCGAGTTGCATACATTTTTAAACGAAAACCGAAAATCAATTCAATTATCTATGTAAAAACATAATTATAAAATGCCTGTAGTTAGTTCCAAGTAAATAAAAAACAAAAAACGAAAAAAAGAAAAGTAAAATGCAGAAGCAGCAAGTAAAAACAATTTTCTAAGCCAAAATTTATCAAATTTTTAGACTTAAATAAATATATAAAAATATATTTATGGAAAAATACGAGATGAATGCAGTGAGCGAAACTTTTAGAGTAAGTGCTGTATTTAATTTCTAACCCGGTCAAGAAAAGCCAAAAGTAAAAGAAAACATAGTAAATAAAGTTAACCAGACATAATTTTGCGAAATGTATAATTTTCTTGCGTAAAGTATATATAATTTTTTTACAACTCATCAAAAAACATCACTTAATTTAAATATTTTTTTTTAGACGGGATGTTGCAGTATTAAAACAATTTTTAGATCCCCAAAAACCACAAGCACTTAGAAAATAATAGATAATATATCGAAATATTGGTGTTAAAAAAAAAAGAAAAGCCGCCATTATAGTTCCCAAATCCAAACTTGATCGGGTTTCAAGGCCTCAGCATCCAGCATCCATGTGAAAACTTAAACAATTTTTTGTCTAGCCTTTAAGCGAGTAAATGAAATTTAACTTTAAATCAATTATGTAAAGAAACAAATATTGTATATCAATAAATATAGAGCATAAATGTGTATGTCAACGCTTAAAATAAATGACTAGCTAAGATTAGAAAGAATGATTGTTTTTTTTTTTTTGTCTGCCTAGAGATGTAAGCCTATTTATAAACGTAAAAAATGTGCATGTAAACAATTTTAAAGGTAAAAAAAAAATAATTAAAAAAGCTTAGTAACAATTTGTAAAACATTTGAGCGATCTACCAAAAAAACCAAAATAAGTGTAAAGCGTAAAATTTTTAACACGAAATGCTGCCTTATGATTCCTTTATGGGTTCTTAAATCATTAAGCCAATACTGTAATTAATTTTTTTTTTCAAACATATACACGAAATATAAATATTTATCTAGAGTAATACAGAAATGCTTTAAATGTTCTTCATTTACCCTGATTTACTTACTCGAGTCTATTTCTATTCTTTCCTTGGGCTACTTGCGCATAGCTTTTTAAATGGGATAACGTTCCGAATATCGGACTTAAAGAAGGTGTTACATTTTTTGGATAATTGTCAAACGATTCAATTAAGAGTTCAATTACATAGACGTTACAAAAACGAAACGATACAAAGCAAAACAAAAGTAAATTCAAATGCAAATCCTATTAAGCCAAGTAAATAATGATAATTACAAGAAACGAATATGTGAAGTGCAGAGTGCAGAAAAAATGATTCTGAAAATGAGAGCGGCGGCGAAAACTAAGAACGTATTGCGTGGAAAAACGAAAATGTATCTTTAAGTCGAGAACAACTCAAATTAGTTGAAATAAAAATACAAGAAAAAATGAAATAAAAAAATATTTCAAGATGCTAAAGAAACAGTTTTTTACTTTTTTTCCACAAGTCTTTAGATGTATGCCACTTTGAAATCGGACAATTCTTGGTAAAGTTATGGACTGTGGAAGTCCAAGTATGGGTCGCCGTTTTACAATTACGAAGGAACCCTTGAAATTAAGTTGATTAAGTTAATTATTACGCTTTTACCTAAATTCCTTTCTCCGGTTCGTTGGGGGTTTGTATTGGTTAGGTCTTTCAGTCCATCAATCAATGCAAGATCGCCATTCCTCAGCCATTAAATAATCGTTACCAGAACTCTGATTTCTGAACATCAGGGAACTTCATTCTTGCACCCGCTGTGTACACTCACTGGTTTCTTACAGCTGCAACTGGAGATCATTGAACTATTATTTTTATAACTTTTACCTGGGCATTTCCTGAGCTCGGGTTGTCGCCTCCTAAACTCTTTTTTTCTGGGTTTATTAGCCATGGGCGATCGTGTGATCTTGGCGAGCGACAAAGCATTTGCATTTTTCAGCTGCAAGAAATTAGCCAAAGGAAGTTGTAGTGAAACGTAAATAAATGCGAATAAAAAACTTTACAATTAATTATCATACAGAGAGTTGTGCACGGAGAAAAAAGACTAGTTCACTTTATTTAAAACATATAACTATTTAAGATAAATATTAAAATGATTGTAGAAATTGTGGCTACCAAAAAGTAGGTATTTAAATAAATTCAAACTTCAATATCACATCACAAATTATATTACTATTAACTCACCAAATGATTATGCCAAATTGATGATTTACAGAACTTATCGTAAGTGTATTTATTAATAATAAACTTTTAGGTTTGACTTTTGGAGTAAAATAACACAATCTAATTTCGGGTTAAACAAAAATTGCGGGTACACAAGGAAATACACACACAAGTATTTATACTAGCTAGTTAACCTCAAACCAGTTAGACTTATGGGTATTAACTGGAGTTGAAATATTGTACCGCATTACTAATTACAAAATAAAATGTTGCACATGCTAAAAATGTTGTGCCATAAAATTGAATGCTTTCGTAACAGATATGTACATTGTGGATCAAAATCCTTAAGCTCCAAAAGAAAAAAGAAGTCTGAATAATATAAACTCAAATTTGAAACTTTGAAAAATGTATTTAATGAAACTATATCCTATATCCTCACAATTTGAATGATAGTTGTAGGAAAAACTTTATTGTATAAAACATTACGTTGATATTAGGAAACTTGTGTAAATCTAGTAAAAAGAGTTATTCGACTTTTGATAATTTCACATTTTCTTATAAAAAGTTTTTAATAAAAAATTCACAGCCACAACAAAAAATCTATAAAATATGTGGACACACAGAAACTTAAAAAAAATATAATTCCAGTTTGTAGAGATCTTGTCAACGTGAATACTTAAAATCAGATCATAAAAATGTATAATCCACCGTTAAAACCATAAATTGGATGGTGATATGATGAAACCACAATTACAAAATTTATTGTTTATGATCTTAACTTTGAAGATCATCTCCCTTCAAGTGAGTTTTAATCTCAAATAAATGCAGCTCTTTGAAACCTCTTAAAAATGTGCCCTCTATTTCGACCCCTACCTTTTCGCTCCCTCTTCGCCTTTGTCTCCCTTTTCTCCGTTTTCCTTTTGTGACTTGTGTTCTCCGCGCTTCCTTTTCGCCGCTTCCTTCGCTTCGCTTTGTATTGTTGTTATTTTTCGGACAGGTGGTCGTTTTTTTTTTTCCTTCGTTTCACGTTTTTCGCTCTTAGTTTGCTCCCCATTTTCTCTTTACCTCGCTCTTTGCTGACTGCGCATGCTCATTCAGATTTAAAAACCCACCTTTACCTTTTCAAATTTGGTTTTACCGTCGGCAAAAGGCAAAAATTTCTTCGCCAGCACTTTTCCTTTGTGTTTTTCGCAGCGCTATTTGTTTTTTCGAGTGGACAACTTCCTATCCAGTACTTTTATGGGGTTTATTTGACAACTGGCGAAGCGGGGGAATATCTGGAATTTGCATGTGGAACGGCCGTTGTCTAATCATTGAGTAAACACCGGATCGGATCGGTTGAACATATGTAGGTGTACTTAGGGTCGATTATCTCAGTAAAAAGAAAAATGTCAACTTTCCAGGGAACTCGAATATTGCCAAGCGGAAATTATGTAATGGTGCTAAAACAAAATGATACAAGTTCTAACATGTGTTATTGCACAAATAACTCATAGGAACTATATTGTATGTATTATATTCCAAAAACATTTTTTAAATATAGAAAATATGTTTCAAAAAGTTGGACGTAATTTTCAGACATTATATTATATTGTTGATTTTATTGAAGTTATTGATTAAACTCGAGGTCACACCCAATTTTATTTTTTTAAGAATATCTGCTGATCCCAAGTTTGAAAAACTTGTATTACTTTTTTTGAAACCCAAAAAAATTAAAGCTTGTATAAACAAATATATTGACTTTAAGTCTTTTAAGGTTCGATACAAAAACAGCTGATTTCAGAAGAAAGATCAAAAAGAAAAGAAAGCTGATTTGAATTTTTAACTGTGATCTTGTTTTTTCAAATTATTAGTCAAATTTTTAAGCTTAAGTCAAATTGCCATAACTAACGAAAATAAAAAGGGAAAACTTATTAAACAGAATGCATTATTTTTTAAAACATTTTTTATTTCAGTTACAGCTATTCAATTTTAATGTTAGTTTGTATCTAATATTAATAATTACATTTTCGTTACATTTTCCTTCCTTTCTTCAATTTTAATACAATTTCAAATACACAAAATAAAAACAAACTTTATTTATCCCACAATTTATATTAAATCAATTGTATTAATTTATTAATAAACATGTGCTTCTCTTAATAATATTATTTATTGTTATTTACAATATTTCTTAACTTTTCAAACTCCGACGGTTGGAAACCCGGAATATTTTATTCGTTACTTCAACCGCGATCGATAGACCTAAATTGCAGCCCTGAATGGTATTTAATGGTATATTTTAAGTATATTGTTCCTGCGCGCCCTTTGTTAGAGATGGCAGAGCATCGATGACGCCCTGCCAACCATCGATATCGCCGATGTTTTGAAACACGCGATGTCATCGATGTTGCCATCGGCGCTTGTCCACCACCATTCGTTTGGCAGATCGGTTTGAAAGAAACGGTTGAAAGAAACGGTTGAACGCGGACGAGCGGAAAAAGTGAGTGAGAGAGTGAAAAAGGAAGAGCGAAAGAGCAAGCGTGCGGCGTCGGTCCGAAAAGTTGAATTTTTGCTCGATCCTCAAGGAAATACAACAACGGAATATTGTTATTATTTTTTTTGGCATTTTTTTTAATGTTTCAAATCGGAAAATGTCGCCGTCGTCGGGACAGCGTCTCCTCTTAGTTTATCAAAAAAAGCTTTAACATTCAAAGTGTAAAACAATAAAACACCGTTCAACGTATTAAACACTGCAAATATATACAAAACAAATTAAATCCTCCTATAATACAAAAAAATATCCTCAAAGAGAGACCGAAAAAGGAGAGAAAAAGAAACCAGAAGAAGTGAAAAACTGGAAAAGTGGTTAACTGGAAAACTGGATTACAATGGAATGGCAGCGCAGCCGACGTCGCAGTCGCGCACAAAACACTTGGATTTGTTTTTGGATTAACAAAATGCACGCAGTCGCGTCGCTGCCGGCGTCGCTGCCACTGCTGCTGCTGACGCTGGCGTTTGCGAATTTGCCACACACCGTTCGCGGAACTGGTGAGTAAAGAGGAGACGCCGATAAGAACGAGGGGACAAAGCACAAGTCGCGAAAGAAAAGGGTGGGCGCTAAAACAGGAATTCCAGGGCTCAAGAACCCTAAATTGCGGCTTAAATGCAACCAAAACTTCTAAAGCCAATAAAAACTAAAAAAATATCATGCAGATGGAAAAGAATATGTGATCTAGAGGTTTTATAACTATTTACAGGTCTATAGGTAGTAAATTCCACTTGCGATTCTTAATGCACCTAAAGAACTATAACTCATTCCTTGTTGGTAACACCGATTAATACCTATTTGCCGATCTTATAGGTCTTTAATTCTAGTAAACAATCCATTGGGGCCCTAGATATATCCCGAAACTTCAAACATAAGTTTGTATTACATTAAAAAACAAACTGTAGGAAATTCTCAGTTTAATACTACTTTTTTTTATAAGGAAAACAAAATTAAGACCACTTAATCTACATGAGTAAGGAACATTTGGACCCATTATACTTTTATTAATAACATATTAGAGCATCAGTACCATAAGCACTAGATCATGGTAGGCTAAAGATGTGGTCCAAAATGCTAAACCATGTTTTATAAAATACAAAATTCCCACTTTTGATCTGAAATTCCAGGACCATATAGTTGATCTTCCAAGTCGGAATATTCACTCTCCAAGTTATTTACCGCCTCTTTTTAGCATATGTTCCCTATTTTAAAATAGTACAGAAAAACCTAAAAAAAACATCGCTAAAATAAATGTTTTCAAAAAAATGTTCAATCCAAAAAGTCGCTTCTTGAAAATTCAACAGTGAAGAAGCTTTATTGCATCTGAACTTTTATAACTAGGGAAGATAAATCTGTATGTTGGGACGATCTTGTTAGTTTTCTCCCCAGTTTTTTTCCATAAAAAAATTATTTTAACGTAGTTTATTCTCATAAAAGTATTCAAAATGAAGTAAAAAATCCATAACATTCTTAAGTTTGAATGGGAAAAAGACACAAACATGTTATATACAAGTCCTAGCAACATAAAAAAAAACGCCATTTCCAAATATGACGGTGCGAAAAGGTTATTAATTTTGTTTATAAGAGTTTACGCCCCATTTGATCCAATCCAAGTTTATTCAACTTTCGGCGATCCAACGCCTCCATTAAGCCAACAGTTTAGGGTTTTATTTTGCAGGTTTAATGTGGCACGTAACGGTTTCGGGGACCAACAACAGCAACAACAAGAACAAGACCAATAACCACCACCGCATTCGATTTCATCATATCGGGGCAGAAGGGACTATATAGCATAGCATATAGAATAAACGACAGCTGGGCTCCTGGAGCCAAAAGTGAAACAGCAGGAACAGGAGCAACCCCTGAATCCTGGCATATTGCACATGCGCGTCCTTTTTGCTGTTTGCTGTGTTTGCTCAAAGATCAAATTACGATATACAGTGTGAGCGAGCGAGGGAGAGGGCGAATCGGATGGGGGAACGAGATGGAATATAGTCGAGTATCGCTTCAGATACTTTTGTATCTTTTCTGCCTGCTCGGCCCCCTCGTATTTGCTTCTCGCTTCCTCTCTCTCAGCTATTTCCTGCATATCCTGTGTGTGTGCACCCCGAAAACAACAAAAAAATAAAAATAAATATAAAAACCAAAAACACATTTCTTGACTTTCGTAAGTCACGCACACGGCGGTTCCTTAATTAGCCCTCGCCTAGACTTCAGTAAATACTATATAAGTACTATATAACCCATGCGCATAAAGTCGGTATATGGCGATGCATAACCAACATGCCCATGGTTATGGGTCGTAAAATGTGCATTTTATGATCGGAATGGATCATCCACATAAAGTTGCAACTAAATTTAATGAAAATAAAATTAAAGGGGAAGAGACCACTTAATTTGAAGGAATATATCGCCTTAAATGGCGTTTCAACCAGCCGATGAGGGTAGGACTACCTAGATTTATAGCCGGAAAATAAATGAATTCAAATGTAACCTTTAAAGTTGTAACATGCATTCGAAAGCATACAGCAATAAAAAGATTAGGAAACTCTAAGAAAAATGCATGAAATAGCCTATTATGTCCTTGGAAATGCATCATTATATGCACAAAAAATATATAAAATAAATATCAATTAACGATCATCTTCTTAGTATTGTAGAATAATTTAAAGTATGAATAGCGATCGTTAATAAATTGTTGAAGATATATGCAAATTAATGTATTTAATTCCGAATTGCAATCATAATCAAGCACTTACTCTGCTGTAAATTAGAATAAATTATGCATAAAGTGATCATTAAGAAAAGCTTTGGCAACATTCTTAAAGCAATGAAAAATACAAGTAAACAATTCAAACATTCTAATAACATTACCTACCGATCGTTACCAACTTGTTTTGTATGATAAATGTTTTAATGAAAATGAAAGAAAATAAATATATCCTAAAAACAAAAAACTCAAAAAACGTCAAAGCAATGCACCAAAATACGTATTAATTAGGGCGAATCAATAAATCAGTTATGTGTAACACGCAAAATGCAAAAACCAGGCCAATTCTCACGACTTCAAAACCCTTTTCCAAGGACGCGGCACTTAAAACCGCCAGATTATTGTGAAAGTCTCTCTTTTATTTCGGCGTCTCAATTAATTTGAGACAACCACTTATCGACCATTTACTGTCGCATTTATTAATTAATCGACACCGACGACGATGGCCCCGAATACAAAAAAAAAGTATCACTTAAAAATATAACTTTCCCATCAGTAACTTAAGAAGACTTAATTAAAAAACGGTATATGAAATCGGCTAATTTCTCAAGTGTTAAATCTGCTGTTACTCCTTGCCTTTCGCCTGTCCAAAAACAAAAAACCTGTAAATGATAAAGTAAAATACAACAAAAAAAAAAAGAGGAGAAGAGAGAAGGAATCTTGTTGCCTGGTCACTTGATATGGCATTGGATATAAGGCAGAGCAGTTCCGTTCCAGACGATCCCGATCCCGATCCCGATGCCGATCCTGTTTTTCGGGACACACCTCGAAACCAGAATTGGCAAGGTTTTCAGGTAGAATTTTGTTTGTGCTCTCCGGAAATCCACAATGCTTTTTTTTTGCGCGCGGCTGTCTTTTCTGATTTTCTTTCGTTTCGCTGATATTTGTTATTTGTTCCCATAGTCATTGCATAAACATGAAATTCATTTTCCCAGCCCATCTCTCCTGTTGACAACTACTTTCCAAGTTTTGTCTTGGGAAAATGCCTCAAATGGCCGGCGAGCGATGAATTGAGGTTTTCATCTCGCATACGTGTGCGTTAGTTTTGCTGGTCAAACTAATTATGAAAACAGTCCTCACATGTGTCGGTGTCTGCAATTAAATCCGCTTAGAAAAATCCATGGATTGTGTATATATGGGATTCTAAATCTCAACTCCGCTCTTCGCGGCCTTTATTGACTTTTAATGATGGCCGGGCGAATTAGTGCGCCCTGACTTACTCTTTCTGCCATGGCCAGTTTAATGAGTTTTCTTTATGGCCAGTCCAACACACACACACACACATATGTGCATTTAAGACCAGCAGATACAGGTACCACACACACAGATACACTTTGAGCCAAGACGACGAGATACAAGATACACACAAACAGACGGACGCACTGACCGAACAAGTTTTTAGTTTTTTTTCCCTTTTTCTTTTTCTTCTTTTTTTCTTGGGTTTTCTTGGCTGGTCTCTTTGGTCTTCTCTCCTTTGTGCGGCTTGTTCTTGAACGCGAATGCGATCGCCAAGTAGAAGTATCTGAGAGATACAACAGAAAAAAGAAGACAAAAAAAAAAAAGGCTGACAACCTCAGAAGAACCCCTCCTTTCGACCCAGCCCCGCCCCTTTGCTCCCCCCACCAACAACAACAGCAATTTTTATAGATATTACCCAAAGTGTCTTGTTTGGTTTGGTTTGGCTTGGTTTGGTTTCTCTCCTTCGCTTTTCGACCCGGTCTCTTTTTGTCTTCCAGGCTTTTGGGCTTTTAGGCTGGGCCCCTGCCACGCCCCCCCTCTCCTGGGGTGCCCCCGCCCCTGCAAATCCCCCTCGCAATGCACGCTATGTTGCCATGGGATCTGTTCCGAATCTCTTGTAAAACCCAGCTCTCTCACTTTGTCTTCGAAAAGTGGAAAATTGGTAGGAAAATGTCGATATTAATGGAAATAGCTTTGCCTTCTTCAATAATTATTTAACTCTGGTTAATATTACTCTCTCTGGACAATTAAGATGCTGAAGAATTCGCGGTTATAATTTGATTTAATTAAGCTACTACTCTTATAAACAATGTTGTACAAAAATAGGCATTTAATATATAAAACTATAACTCGCAAAAAGATTCTGAAGAATTCGCGCGAAATTGTTATTGTATTTGTCTTACAAATATTATTTCAAATAATATTGAGGTAAAAATTATATTTCTTTTAAATATCTTTTGCAAAGTTTATAATTAATAAGAACATTTTTGGCTATAATCTTTTAGATAAATGCTTTATATATTTAGGTTAAAACTTTAAGATTTAATATTTTATGGTTTCAAAAGAAATAAATCTAAAATATTGGGTTCAATAACACAACTCAAGATTTTAATGTAAAAATAGAAAAATAATTGTAAACTTGTTTTCTGGCAGTCAAAAAGAAACCGAATAAAATAGAAAATAATTAGAAAATTGGTGTTACATGCTGCGTTGAATAAAATTTCTTTTTCTTTGCCCTGGTCTGGGCATTAAAGAAATTTACGATTTCCTGGGCAAACGCAATCAGTTGGCATAGAAACTTCTTGGCCAAGCTGGCTCTCTAGCCCCGTCTCACTCGCTCAACCTATAGCCGTCTCTTTCCCGTCTTCTATCCTGTTTTGGAGGAGGCAATGAAAAATGACAATCATCATTATATACACTTGAGCGGATCGACGACAGTCGCCGATCGTGTGCTCGTCGTCTTCTCAAGTTGAAACTGAAATTGCTCCGACT